TAATCCAATTTCCGTTATTCTTGCACAGAAACAAAATATTTGAGGCACTTATGAATGGTAATTCTTTATATAGATGTAAAGTTATAAACAAAACCTTCAAAGGATTATACAGTGTATCCAAGAGCTCATGTATGGTCAGAGGGAGCCTCAGGGTCTGGGTCTGTGCTCCACACCATGGATCCAACCCCAGGACAGAGCTGGGCCTGCCTAGTGACATTTGCCTAGTTAGATTCTCCTTTCTGTAATCATACTTTGTGATTTTGCTGTGTTCTGTCTTTTATTCACATCATACTTAGAGAACCAGAGTTCATGCAGATGAAATGTAAAGGATCTCTGAAATTATATGTTTCTGTATTTCTCTATCTCTCTTTATCTATTGACACCTGCTTTTACTTGTAACCATCATAAGGAGCTATAATATGATAGACAGAACACACTGCACCTATTTAAAGTGTGCACTTGATGAGTGCTGACGTGCATGTGCACCTGCACAGTCGCCACCACAGTGGAAATAGTGCACAAATATTTCATCCCGAAGCATTTCCTGCTGTTCTTCTGATTTCTTCATCCCACTCCTTCCTTCCTCTCACCCTATGTCCAGGCAACCTGTGAACTTCTTTATGTTACTTCACAGTATTTTTTTCTCATCTAGAATTTAAGTAAAGGGATTATGCAGTCACTTCATTTAATTCCTTGTTATACTTGATTGAGATCTTTGTTCGAAATGCAATCATTTTCTTGTGTGACTCAGGCTGTCATCACTTTTAATGCTGAGTAGTATCCCAATGTACGAAAATGCCTCCTTTTTTCAGTTTACCTATTGATGGGAATTTGGATCATGCTCAGATTCTGGATATTATAAAGTAAGCTGCTGTTGGATTACAAATGTAGGGATGGAGTAAAAGAGTTCTTTCTTATTGTTTCAACAAATACCACGACGATAGCAAGGCCACTGAATAAGTGAAAATTAACATATTTTCTTAAACAAATCAAAGAGTAAAGTTAACATAACAAACAGCAAACCTGAAATCAGGACAGAGTAGATTTCAAGGAAAAGCAGGATCAAACATTTGCTCACCTGGGTCAGAGATCACTAGATGGCAAACACACTAGAATAAAGGTGAAATTAGAAATATTTCATGAATGTCCAAATGCCCAGTGTGCTAAAGCATCATAGTATGAATCTACTGGGATGCACACATCTGCAGGGTCCTAACTTCTTTCTGGCTTCTCCAGGGTTGGGGAGAATCATTCAGCTCCTACCTCCTGGGGTGGTGCTCAAGGGGGAGAGGAGCAGCCCCCTGCCTAGTGCTCCAGCAGCTCCCCCAGATCCTCCACATGACAAGTTATCAATGTGCACGGGAGGCAGCAAAGCCAGTATTTATGCTATACATTTTGAGAAACTGCTGAACACTTTTTTAATGTGGATGCACAATTTTATTTTCTCACCAGCATTTTATGAACAAACATATTTCTTCACATCCTCATCAATCTCTCTTATGATTCTTCACTTTTATCATATTCATACAACGTGGCACAAAACAGAAACTGAAAACATAAAAGAACCCGAATGCTGAGCACTGCATGTTATTAATTCCACTTATAAAAATTATCCAGAACAGGCATGCATGGAGACAGAAATTAGGTTAGTAGTCAGTGGACCAGGATAAGGAGGAGGAACGGAGGCCTGGAAAGTGACACTGAAGAGATGTGTTCATTTTGGGATATTCCAATAATCTAAACTTAAATTCTGTTCGTGGTTGCACAACTTTTGTTAATTATTTTGTGAGTAACATATACTGAAGTCTTCTAAACTGGACACTTTTTTCGGTAGATTTTCTCATAAGTAAAGTATATTTCAATAAGTTTAAGAATCTATCCATCATTTTAAAATATTAATACAGTTATACAATTTTATACAGTTTATAGGCCCCATGAAACATACTTTTGTGATATAAACAGCAAACATATTGTGATGTCAGTAATCTAAAGGATATGAGAGCATGAGAAATTGCGTGGTATTTTGATATAGTCCCATTTGTTTATTTTCTCTTTTGTTGTTTTTGTTTTCTGGCTGAAGTTCATACAGTTTGTGCACACACCTAGTTCCTGAATTGTTTCACCTATATTTTGCCTTTGTGATATTTAAGTTTCAGGTCTTATAATTGTATTTAATCCACTGTGAGTTGAATTTAGTACACGGTGTGAGGTAAATGCCTAGTGTCATCCTTCTACTTATGAACATCCAGTTTTCCCTGCATCACTTGTTGAGAGGAAGTCTTGTCCCCAATGTAGATTTTGTTGCCTTTGTCCGATATCAAATGGCTGTAAGAATGAGGGGTGATTTCTGTGTTCTCAATTCTGTTCCACTGGTCTGAGTGTCTGTATTCAGTACTAATAGTGTCTATCGTCAGTAATAATATATTTCAAAATAGTAAGGAGAGTAAATTTCAAATGTCTTCCCACAAAAATTATAAGTTGATGTGAAGGATATATTAACCAGCTTGACCTTGTAAATCTACACAACTATTCCAGTTGTCGAGAAAGGCAAATTGTAACTAAAGCCAAAATGTCTCATTAGATTAGTTATACTATGTTTCCATTTGTATTGTCAGGGCTAGTGTTCAGACCGTTCAAACCCTTGTACAAACTGGGTCACAAACCCCTCATGTGCCAGGCTGGGTCACCAGACACTTCACATTCCAGACTTGGTCACCAGAACATTCACACACAGGTCCGTACTAGTTAATTGGGAAAGACCCCGCTAGCCATTGGCAGATGACATAAGCTCATTCCTCAGCAACAGCAGCAGCAGCTTACGGGTACAGCGTGTACAAGTCTGGTAGTGGCAGTGGTGGTGGTTGCAGCAGCCTTGTGCGGGGTCCTGGAGACACTGGCAGCAACAACTTGCAGCAACACCCTCCAGCAGCATTAGAGGCTCCCCCATGGCCCCTGTGGGTATGCCAGAGGTGGGGGAAGCACCGTGGATCAGAGCCACTCATCCTTTATACTTAAGTCCATAACCCAGGACACCTGGGTGCACATGTGCAATTACATTAGGCAATAACCAAGGAACATCTGGGTGCACGTGCATATTTACATCAAATGCTCAGTGATATTTCAAACATATGAGGGGCCCTGACCATTTTCCTATATTTTCCCAACAGATCTAATTATTCTGCATTATATACATTTTTCAAAACATCATTCGGTTCCCCATAAATGAATACAATTATGATTTATCACATAAGATGATATTAATAAAAAGTGAAGGAGATATAGCCTCTCTCAGACCACACAGTG